CAGTTTCATCCAAGAGTGCTTGGAGTTATCCCGCCACCACCCGCTCCAACACCTTGCCCAGAAACGGGATGTTGGCCACTGGTCTATAGTTAGTGGCCATCTCTGGATCCAGTGACGCCTTCTTCAGGACCGGTCGGACTACCGCCTCCTTTAAAGGGGCAGGCACCCGACCCTCCCTCAGAGAAACGTTAACCACTTCCAAGATCCAGGTCCCAATCCCGTGCTTGGAATTATTTATTAACCAAGACGGGGAAGGGTCCAATAGGCAAGTGGTGGGACGTACTCGTCCAAGCACCTTGTCCACATCATCGGGCCACAATAACTGAAATTCATCCAATAATTCTGGACCAGACGGCAGCATTGGCATCTCCCCAGAAATCTCTGATTCATTAGTGGAGTCCAGCTCGTGACGAATCTGAATGATTTTCTCCCTGAAATGCCTGGCAAAGTCATCACAGCGGGCCTTTGAGGGTGGAACCGGATCTTCCTTAGGACTCGGGCGAACCAGGCCTTGCACCACTCGAAAAAGTTCTGCCAGACGGCATTGTGAGGAGGCAATGGAAGCGGAAAAAAACTTCTTTTTCGCCGCCTTCACTGCCACAGCATAGGCCCGATAGTGGGCTCTCAAGTGTGTTTGGTCAGATTCATCCCGTGATTTCCTCCACCTACGCTCTAGCCGTCTCCCAACCTGCTTCATCGCCCACAATTCAGGTGTATACCGAGGGGAAGAGCAGGCTCTGCCCGGTGGGAGAGGACAGTTAAGAGCGATCGTGTCCACAGCCTTGGTCATCTCCCTGTTCCACAGTTCAACCAGAGCCTCGACAGGAGCACCAATCTTGTCAGCCGGAAACTCCCCCAGGGCTTTCAGGAATCCATCCGGATCCATCCGGCTCCGGGGGCAGACCTACACAATTGGATCCGCACCCTTACAGAGGGAGAGGTCGCTCTTGAGCACAAACCTCACCAGGAAGTGATCTGACCATGATAGGGGAGTCAAACATAAATTTCTCACCCTCAGGTCACCCTCTTCCTGCCCTGTCAAGAAAACCAGGTCCAGAGTGTGTCCACGTTCATGGGTCGGGCCGGAGACATGTTGAGACAGCCCCATGGCCGTCATGGAGGCCATGAAGTCCTGAGCCGCCCCAGTCAGACCAGACTCAGCATGGAGCTTGAAGTCCCCCAGGACCAGCATCCTGGGGGTCCTCAACACCAGGTCCGAGACGGTCTCTGTCAGCTCAGATAGGGAGACTGTTGGGCAGAAGGGTGCATGGTACACCAACAGAATCCCCAATCTGTCTCGTTCACCCAACACCAAGTAGAGGCACTCCAGCCCTGGCCTTGAAGAGACCGGAAGTCCCGTGAGAGAGATGGAGGCTCGGTAAACCAAAGCGACCCCCCCTCCCCTCCCCTCTGGGTGTGAACAGTGCTGAACCAGATACCCAGGCGGGCACAGTTGAGAGAGGGCAACATCCCCCCCTCTCCAGCCCAGTTCTCCGTTATGCAAGCCAGGTCAGCCCCCTCCTCCACAATCAAGTCATGGATGAGGGAAGATTTATTATTGACCGACCTGGCATTGAGCAGCAGCACCGTCAGGCCTGAGGGGTGGTTGACAAGGCTACCTGGCACCCTCTGGCTGGGGGAAGAACCAGAAAGAGGGACAGGTGTCAGCCATCTGTCCCTCCTTTTTCTACGTGGACATGTTAATCAGGAAAATGAAATGAAACAACCAAAATCATCATAAAGAAAATAGAAATTCTACTTATCTTCCTTGGGATTCTTCTTGAAATGTGCACAGCCTTGTAGCATTTCTGTATCTCCTTCCATTTCAGACCCAGTGGAGCTGAGACTGGTCAATGGCACACATCGGTGTTCTGGGAGAGTGGAGGTGTTTCATCTCCAGCAATATGGAACTGTGTGCGATGACAACTGGGACATAAATGATGCCATAGTTGTGTGCAGGTACCTGAACTGTGGAAATGCCTTATCTGCCCCACGAGGAGCTCGGTTTGGGAGAGGGTCTGATCCCATCTGGTTGGATGATGTGGAATGTACAGGAACAGAATTGTCCCTTGGTGTTTGCAAGGCCAAGCCTTGGGGAAGCAATGACTGTAACCATGGAGAAGATGCTGGTGTTGTGTGTTCAGGTAAGTTGCTTTGGTGCAAAAACCTCTGTTAGAAGGAGGTGGTGATGGAAAGGCAACTGCATTAGGCCTGGTTCCATCAACAACCCTCAGAAGTGGGTGACAAGAGCAGAAGGGCCTAAATGCCTACACATCCTACTTGTGGACTTCTTATAGCATCTGTTTGGCCACTGCAGGAAGCAGGGTGCTGTGCTAGATAATGTATTTGGTCTGATTCAGCAAGGCCAGCTCTACCATTAGGCAGAGTAGAGCAACTGCTAGTGGAGCAAAGGCTACAGGAGCAAGGAATGGCAGCTTCCTGAACTCACTGGAAAGGATTCATCCAGATCATTACATTTTCATAAGCGTTTGGGTTTGCTCTCTGCAAAATTAATCTTTTGGTCATTCACTTTACTGCTTTTTCCCAGATGATCTCAGGCTGGTCAATGGTTCTAATCATTGCAGTGGGAGAGTGGAGATCCGGACAGCCCACAGTGATGAGTGGGGGACTATCTGTGACACCAACTGGGACTTAAAGGATGCTGAAATTGTGTGTAAGCAACTGGGCTGTGGAAGAGCAACCTTAGCCCCACGAGGAGCTCATTTTGGACAGGGATCAGGTTCCATCTGGTTGGATGACATGGACTGCAAAGGCACAGAAGATTCCATCCAAGAGTGCAGAGCAAACAACCAGAGAAACAGCTGTAATCATGGGCAGGATGCAGGAGTAGTTTGTTCAGGTAATCTCCAATTGGCCTTGGTCCTTGCAAAATAGGAATGGGGAATAATGTACCTAAGCCTATGCTTCTACATCAGTCATGATGGAAAAGTAGAGAACAGGCCGTCCTCTTCCTGACACCCTGCACAACCATGTTGCATCCAGCTTCTCTCACCATCTCACCAAGTTCTGAAGGTGACAGATAGTGTCTCTAGATCAGATAATCTGGATTTTATTTTTTTATTTACATTTATATCCTGTCTTTTCCTCCACCTGCCTAAGGTGGTATACATGACCCTCTGCTCCATATATGTTCACAACAACCATAAGAGGTAGGTTACACTAAGAATCAGTGCCTAGCCAAAAGTCACCCAGTTCAGTAAAGTCAGACTCACTCATGTCCAGTTTTAAGGCTGGTCTATCGGACAAGGTCTAGCCACAAAGAGAAAATCAGCACTGGCTATGCCATAGTAGTGTAAATATTTTTGGCAGAGAACTACCACCTGCCCTTTTGGCAAGGTGTACATAACTTAAAAGCTTTTCAGGTGGATTATATTCCTTGCATTTTAGTGGCTACAATTGCTGGTCTTCTGATGCCCACCAGCTGTTCAGTCAAGCCATAGTTACATGTTAGAAGGGAAAGAAAGAAAATGACAGGAAAAGAAATTAAAATGGGGGCAGTGTTCCCACCAGCTAAAGAAAATATAAGAACTGGGGTGGGAAACAATTAGATTTGCCTAAGGAAGCAAGATCAGCAGCCCAGTCTTTCCCCTACCTGCTCTGAAACCTGACTTCAAGGTTTGCCATTCTTCATTCATTGAGCTTTTTAAAAACAGCCTAGTGGCACTTCAGCTGCCTAAGACCTGAGCTTGCTAGATCCACAGAAAGCACCTTAGTGTCATACTAATTAGTACTTGGCACCACTGTGCTTTCCTCATGCCTGTTTATTTTATTTGCACTTGGTTCAGCAAGATCCTGCATCAAGGGCTCAGCCCATGAAACTGCAAGGGTTTCATGCTGAAGCTGCTGCTGGTAAGCTCTTAGAGTGCTTCTTCCTTCTCTAGAGTGGATGGGAAGTCCTTCTGACATGTACTAAATCCTCTTCATCCTGGGCTTTCTGCAGAAGCGTCCACACTGAACGTGGCTAATGTCCGACTGGAAGGTGGTCCACACTCCTGTGCCGGGAGAGTTGAAGTTTTCCACCAGCAGCAGTGGGGAACTGTGTGTGATGACGGTTGGGGCCTTCCAGATGCCAGTGTGGTATGCAAGCAGCTGAACTGTGGCTTTGCTTTGGAAGCCCCACATGGAGCACATTTTGGACGGGGCGGTGGATCCATCTTTCTGGATGACGTGAATTGCACAGGGACCGAAACCTCCCTCAAAGATTGCAGGGGACGTACCATTGGAGAGCATGACTGTGACCACTCAGAGGATGCTGGGGTGATATGTTCAGGTAACATAGTGGGGAAGGGGAGCTATTTGCTAGAGCCAAACGTTTCTAGCAAAGCCTCAGCTTTGAAATGCAATAAAATCAGTAAAAGGAACCGGACACAGGGAAGGATGCTTAGTTGCTTCACCATTGGCTGTTTCTCTGCTCAAAATCCCCTGCCCCAGGCTCCTGATCTACCTTTGTAAACACATCTGGAATCCAGTGTGGGAAAAGTAAAGAAATGCTTGTTCCAACCCACCTTTCCCCCACTGCATCGCATGGCTTGCAGTAGTTCTGCAGAATACTACAGCTACTCATATAAGATCCAGCAGAAATTTATTTGCATCTGCCTGCTTGCATGCTAAATGAGCCCCAAGTGGATATGGTTGTGAAAGATTGCCTTGTGTACTTCAATTTATTCATTTTGATTTAAAAAGATTGTCTTTGTTTTACTCAAAGTAACAAATGACCCATCAGTAGCACATCCAGTTTATAAATTTTATAAATTTCAAAATTAGAAAATGTAGACTGAGTCAACTCTTTTTAGCTAGCCATTGTAAAAAGCAGAGTCCTCTTGGCAAAGATCCATGAGGTATATATCCAAGAGTTATATCCTGCCTTTTTCTGCATGAGAGAAACCCATGGCAGCTTACATTCCTCCACTGTATCCTCAAAGCAGCACCCCTGTGAGGTAGGTTAGTCTGACAGTGAGTGACTGGCCCAAAGGTCTAGTTCCCATTCATGGCAGAATGGAAACTGGAACCCAGCTCTCCTAGGTCCCCAGTTCAACACTCTCACCACACCAGTGTGTATATTGTTGTGCAATATATTTTGCATATTCTTTGGATAATCAGGAGTTATAAATGAACAAATCAGTAATTAAACAATTGCAGCAGAAGCTGTCACACTGCATGAATCTGAACACTAGGATGTTTGAAGCTACTCTGGTGACCTATTTGGCAAGAGAGACTCCTGGATCAGCCAAAGAATGCTCCTGCTTTTAGGACCTGTCATTGTTAAATATGTCTTACTTACCTTAACAAAGAGCCTTTGGAGCTGTGTTACTAAAGAAATGCAAGAACAGCTATCAAGTATAAAACAAAAGAAAGACATGTACAATATACATTCTGAAATAAAAGGATATTTTAAAATGCAGCAGCAAAAAGATGGCAGACTGAGAAAAAGTGAGGTTGTGTTGAAAAAGCACCAAAGTATGTCAGGAGGAATGTAAGAAGTAGATGTTCAAGCTTTGAATATTTCCAGTTGTCTAGGCCTGGTGGGTAAGTAAATGCATATGCTGAGAATGGCAATTAGTACACATTTTTTAGAAGACTCAGGAGGTAGTGAATCACACCTGGTTAGGATAACCCAGGATATGGTCTGTGTCTGTTGCATCTCACACTGTGTTTTGACATAAGAGGGAGTGTGTGCCTTTTGTAAATCAACATCAGAGCAAGCAGGTATTTGTTAACTGGGGCATATCTGATGGCTGTATAACTAAGGAATGCTACAGAACTAAGGGGCTTCTCTTTGTGGGGAGAGACACTTGTTGCCTTCAGGAAAATTCTAAACACTTTGGCTGGTGCTGAGAAGACATGAAAAGAAAAACCAGAAGAGCTTCCTTTGGGAGCCCATTGCACTGTCAAGATGCCAACGCTGAGAAGGTCCATCACATCACCAAGGAATAGCATGTGACTGTCTGCCTTTGTTCTGCAGGTCATATGGATGTGCGGCTGGCCAATGGACCCCATTCCTGTGCCGGCCGGGTGGAGTTGAAGAATAACAACACCTGGTCCTCTGTTGGTGACTCTGGGTGGAGCCTTAAAGAGGCCACAGTAGTATGTCGGCAACTGGGCTGTGGTTCAGCACTGTCCGCCCAAAAGGGCAACCAATATGGCTTGAGTTCAGGCCCGGCCTTTCTGGAAGAAATGAAATGCACTGGATCAGAAGCATCTTTAAGTGAATGCCAGGCCTCCCCAGCAGGCCCCAATAAGTGCATCTGCGGCACCTATGCAGGAGCAGTGTGCGAGGGAAAGCCAGGTACTAACATGACTTCGTCATGATCACTTATGTGTAGAGAAGCAAGCTGAACAAAAGTTCTCCCTTTCAACTACTGTCCTCTTCTGACTTCACAGGCTCAGGTAAAACTACTGCTGTGGTTTTGAGTCTCTTAGCGATTGCCTTGATTATTGGTGGGGTCTTCTTGTACCTGCGATGGAAGAAAATGAAAATTTCAGTGAATCCTTTCCGTTGTAGAAGAGGTAAGGTTGTGCCAACACAGTTTCCAGCCTTGATCACTGAATTGGATATCTTTGAATCTGACTGCACCACCAAATATTTGCAGAGCAGTTTGCACAGTCCTCCCCTAATAACTGTTTCCTGTCCTAATTAGATCGCCTTCTTCAGGTTATTTGGTTTGGGTTTTTAGCAGAAAAATTAGCACTAGCACAGATGCTATTGTTATTGCAGTGTTCTGAAATGCTATGTAAGTTGTTATTGGATCAAGAGCTCTGCAGCTTCCAAAATTTAAGCCATTTTCCCACCTTTCTTCAACCATCATAACCAGTTTCTTTCTATAAAAATAATTAACTGGATTATGCATGCAACCACACAACCTCCACCTTGTTCTTCTTTTGTAAACAATGCTGCTTATGTCAGAATCCTGGAATCTCAATTTGAGAAGAGGGAATAAAACTTGGGGTTGTAGGAAAGATCAATCGTTATGAACCTCCATGTCTTTATTGTCTATCCCAGGTTCCCGTGGTTGACTCATGATAATACAGGCTGCATTACTGGGCAGGCAGAGATGAACTCTGCTGCAAAGCTTCAATACCACTACAGGGCATTTATAGGTACACAGGTACAGGGCAATTGATGACAGAATGCAGATTACAATAAGATTCTGAGGTCACCACATACAGAACAGATAAAGAAATGTCAATCACACTGTAACAATGAATTACAATATTTATAATTGTCTGTATTGACACTTTAGTTGAGTAACTTGAACCCATCTCCAGGTCTGCTCAGACATGCAAATTCAAGCTACTAGAAACTATTCATGATAAGCTCAGACCCCTATCTAAACATTCTGCATGATCAGGGCACATGAAGCCCTTTGGGCTATCAAAAGATTATTGTAAACTGAATTCCAACAATGACTATTTACAATGGATATTTGGGCTAAAATGGCCTGTCTGCTGTAGCCTACAGCTAAAGGTGAGAGAAAGGAGCAGGGAAATGCCATTTTAAACAGTGACAGCTTGGTTTTGAGAAGGAAGACAGGATTTGATCCCACAATGCAAAGGCACACATGAGTAATGCTTTTCAGACAGGATTTACTCAAATTTTCCCAACACTTAACACAATCAAATTGGTGATATCTCTGGAGAGCACCACAGTGTCCAGACTAAACTACCACCAAAATTCACAGAGCAGCCCCCTCAACTAGAGCCAACAAAAGGCATGCAACTATTTATTGCACAAAAATGTTGCAGTAGTACAAACAGGTAAGAAAAGAATAATCAGAAACCAAGGCACTGGAAGCAAGGGCTCCAACAGAACACCTTCAGGCCCAAGCATTTGGGGGTTTAAAGCTCAAAGTATGCACTTTGAAATGCGCTTGGAAACAAGCTGGCACTAATGCAGATCTTTTAAAGAAAGCAAGAATAGTCATCAGTTCAAAGGGACATAGTGAAACACTTCCCTGTTGTATTTCAAACCTGAACTGGCAAAAGAGCTACCTAGATCCTTGGCCTCTGCAGGATCACACACACAGTGGATTCCAAATGTGTAATCACCAGCGTCAACAGGAAGAGACAGGAGGTGATTCCCTAACTTGTTGGGACCTGCCCGCTTGTCCAGGAGTTAAAGTGCCCTCCAGTATCTCTCCGGTCTTGCAGCAGCAGGCAGGTCCAACAGAACCATGGCAGGAACTACCCATCAGGTTCTAGCTACATCCAATTAAAGGCTAGCCTGACCATGCTTGACTTTAAGTCCTGCCATCACTGGGAAACTCCAGTGAATGTTTGCTGTCAGAAATGGTACAAAAACAGGGTTTCTGAGAAACAAAGATGAATGCTCAGGGCAACCCTGATGCTTGCCGAAGTAACCCCACAAAAATATTTCAAATATGTTGAATGACACCTGGAAAAGATAAATAGAGGGCAGGAGATACACTATGTCTAGAAGGTGAGAAGAGAGTAGGTTATTTTTGTTGCTGGTTCCACTTACTACATGATTAAAGTGTGCATTTTTTGAAATCTGGACAGGCAGACCATCTTTAAGGATAAGTGCTATTAAGTGGGAGGTAGCAGGAAGGTTCCAGCAGAAAGGAGGGGAAGCTGGTCTACAGTGGAATGGCGGCATTTTGAGATCATTCGGGGGCTCAGTCTGTTCATTCACTCTTTTCCCCTTGCAGAAGTATTTATGGAGAATATCACAGTGGGATCCGATATGGTTAATGGCATTCGAGAGATGTACTCCCGAGGAAGAGAGCAAGTTGCACCCACAGCAAACCCTGAAGATGACACCGTCTGTTTGGTGAAAGACACCTCTGACGCTTCCACAGACAACACTAATTGAGAGACTGGGAGGGGGCAATGGCTTGGATGCAGATGAGAGATGAACATCTACCAGGAGAGAGGCATCTTCCATCCATTCACTGAAGGAGGCCATATCTATGTCACCAGCTCTTGCACTGATAGAGTGAATTTGCAGAGACTTGTGTGTGTTTTGCTGGAATCTCTGGAAGCATGCAGGTATCACCAGCCTGAGAATACCAAAAGGAAATGGGAACCCCTTAAGCATGGATAGAAGACAAACTGGAAATCCCTGAAAATATCCACAGTGCCAAAACTTTTAAGACTTTGGAAAGTTGTTTCAAAACCCTTGCTTTCCCTACTGGCCATTACATAAAACAACCATTGATCTAAGTTCTGCTGTAACCCATACAGAGCATGTTTGTCAGATGCTAAACAGTAAGACCCAGAAAGCATGCCTCCTGCTGCATTTGTAGCTTGCTTGTAAGACTTTTCCCCCAGAAAATCCTGATGGGAGTCAGGCACCTTCAAACATGGAAAAGGAATTGGTACAGTTTCCGCATGAAGTCCCTGCACTATACCTCTTCTCCATCATACACCTGACCATCACCCAGTCCCCACCACCAACACAATCCAAGTACTAAGCAGGTCTGACTCTGTTGAGCTTTTGGTTTGGACAAGATCCAGTCTTTATAGCTCCATCCTCTATATTATCTTGGCTGATTCTTATCCTTACTTGTCTGGTTATTAGCCTAACAAAGAAACAAAGAAAATGATTTAATTGCATATGCTAATCCAGATGAGTTAGAGTTTCTGTTTGCCTGTTGATTGAACACTGATGTTAGCTAGGCTGAAGAAACAGCAGTCTTGCACATTATTCATTGCAGGTCTACTCAAAAGAAAATCCCCTTGATGTCAATTTCTTACTTCCTAATTGGACTGCATCCTTAATGGGAAAAAATAAAAGGAGCAAACTCAGTTCCCCTTGGAGAACCTGGGTCTGTTTCAGTCAGACTCAGTCTTCCAGCTGTACTTAAGAGGAGTAGCCATATTGCATGCCCTTATTACAGATAAAGCTGTACAGATTATAACAATAAACTTGCTGTAGAACTGTTCTCACCATATGTTTGGCATACATCCTTCCTCTGAGGTTTATTGGAAACCAAAGGCCTGATTCATCTCAATCATGAAGAGAACATCTCTCAGAACTAGGCTGTCATGTTGATTGGCTTGCCTCTCGTGTCAGTCAAGGCAGATTTAAAGCTTAAATAAGAGGTAGGAAACCCCTTTCAGCATGAGGGGCAATTCCCTTTTGGAGAAGTTGGGGAATGGAGGAAACAGAATTTGCCAGGAAGTAAGAAAAAATAAAGCAAAAAACCTCACACGTGGTTCCACTTTGAAAATACGTTGCCTTAATTCCATCAGTTTGAAAAACACACAAATGTCCTTCAAGCTGACCCAAAACATCTACAGAAAAAGTAATGACCTTTTGGAGGGTTTTTGCTAAGGAAAAGAAACCATGCTAAAGTGAAGCAATGGTAAATCTGACTAAGTCAATGAATCATGTTTACCTATTTAAGATGTCATACTTGGGAAGTCTGGTTTTATATATGTGCATCCAGAGATATAAACTGGGACGATAGGAAATCTCTCCTGAGTCAGAGCACTGGTCCGCTTCACCCAATGTTGACTTGCACCGGCTCTCCAAGGTTGCAAGCAAAAGTCCATCCTAGCTCTACCTGCAGATGCCGGGGACTCATCAGGGGCCTGCATGCAAAATGTGCTTTGCTGCTGAGCCACACTCCTCCCGATAGTGGTGTGGTTGCTGACATGTAGCAGGGGTCCATTTCCATGTTGATTTTGTCTTAACATATATTGCTGAAAAATTGCACAGCCTGCAACTTGTCCCAGTTTCTGCTTTGTTTCTGCATTTACCAAATGTGCAAGTCTCAGAATTGACAAGGAAAAGGAGAATAAAGACTTAAAAATAAAAACTTAACACTTTGGAGTAGGAAAAATCTCAAATGTTTGTTGTTTTTTTCTAGTGTAATGGAGGACTATGCTTGGAAACAATCCATGCTTTAGGAATGCAATCATATGTATGTCTGCTTGGATTGAGTCCTATTGAGTTCAGTGGGATTTAATCCCAGGTGTGTGTGTATATAGGATTTCCATCCAAAGGCTGGCCATTTTTTCTCTGCTTTAAATGGGATCAGAGTGTTAAAACAGTGTTAAAATATTCTCCTTTGGATGTTCTAATGTGTGTGCTTTTTTCTTAAACTCAATGGAAAACCCAAGTGAAGGGAAACATGAAAAATGTTCTATGGGAATCTGCAAGTCCATGGATTTGAAAACTTCCCAAACAATTAAGGGATGGGAATGGACACAGTTTTTCAGAGACAAGGCTTTAGTTTTCTTCACAGTAAATCAAAAAATATTACAGAGCTGAAAGGTACCCAAAAGGCCACTTCATGCAACCACAAGACTGCTAAGCAGAGCAATTAATCCACTGGCCCATACAATTAAAATTATGGGACACCATAAAGCAAATGTACTGCAAGGTTAGCACTTAAGAGACATTTAGCATAAATGACCCATGCAGGTGGTCCAAGCTGGCAGTCTTTCCCAGCCTTGTCCCAGCAATAAGAGGCAACAAAACAAACAATTATTTAAAGACTATTGACTTTAAATGGCCCATCAGCTGTGGACCATTTATATATTGCCAAAGCCATGTGTCACCACACAAGAAGACACACATTTGCACATGCTCATGTAATTCAGAAATGATAGCTATAATTTAGATAGATGTACAATATGCAATACTATAGTGGGGCAGACGGTGGCCAAGTGGGCTTCCTTAGGTGCCCTGGGTGATGTGCCTTCCCATTCTGTAGTCCAGTTAAAGGTCCCTCCCTGCTTCTGGTTCCTTATCTTCAAACTGGACATGGATTGGACAGTCCTTCCAACAGAAGACACCTTCAAATAAAGTAGGGCATCTTGGCCATAGTCAGAAGCAGAGCTCTCTAGACAGAACATTGGTCGTTCAGGCCCTTAATATGTTCTTATATGTCTTACAAAGATATTTCACTAATTTGTTTCTGCTCCATACCTCTTCTCCTTTTCCTTTCAACAACCAGCTCCCACCTCAAAATATTATCCTTTCACTATCTCCTTACACACCCCAGTCCATCCTGTGCGGTGCTTACTAGCAGCTCCTTCCTCCATACAGTGATCTAGAAGGCCAGGGAAGAATGCAATTCACAGCAAGCATAGTATTACCATCACTCTGCAAGCACCAGTTTTAAACACTGGGTGCTTCCAGATGAGGTTTTTATTATGCAACCCAGCCTCATTGGTGGAATATTTCTACTGTTTCTTCCATCTTTTTTTTCTGAAAAAAAAAAACTGTTAAAGAGAAAAGGAAAAGCTGTGCAATGTCTTTGAAATGGTAGTGCTAGGAGCTGTCTACCTGGAACCACTCTTTATATACTTAAAGCGCCATATATTCATGTACAATAAGAACCCCATGAACAATTTTCTCTACCTGTTTAGCAAACACTTAGCCACATCCTTTGCTCTAAGTGATTCTGTACCTGGCATCTTGCAAACAGCAGGAAAACTTTTCTCTTGTCTGCCATCAGGTTAGTCTAGTCCATTCAAAATTGAATTAGTGGAGCCTTTCCCAACAAAGTGGCCTCCAGATGTTTTGGACTAGTCAATGGTCAGGAATGTTAGAAGTTGTGGCCACTGGCCAGGCTTGTAAGGGCTGCTGGAGTTGTATTGTTCAGAAAGGGCTTTTTGGTTTGCTGTTTCTTTGGCCTTTTATATCTATGAGGCTAGTGGTCATGTCCTAGCATAGACACATTCAACAAAAAGCATTCTATTTCAAATTTATAGACTAGGGTTGTCAAAAAAAAAAAAAAAACTTGTGGACTGCATCAGAAAATCCCAGATTAGCAGAACAGGAGAATGTACACTCAGATCTACATGGGTGATGCCACACTCAAATCTCAGTAGTTTATTGATAAGCTCACCCTGGAACCCCCTTGACAGAGACAAAACTACAACAGCACTACCAATAGTAGTCACTATGCCCACTAACTATAAGTTCCCTGAGCATATACAGAATCTTTTATAGGTTGTTAGTCTCACAGTAGTGAGGCTGATGATGAGGGAAGAATGGGTACATTGTGAAAAACAATGCAGGCATAAACAGAGCAATGTAAGTTAACAGCAGAGAGGATATTCCACAAGGTTACAGTGGTATGAGTGGTGAGCATTGACAAGACAAATAAGACATGAATCTTAATAGATCCCAGGTATGGGTTTTGACATGCAAGTAGAGATGATTCCATCAGAACAGGATAATCTCTTCAGGGCTGTTCTCATCGATTTGTAAGCTAGCTGGCCACAATGTTTCAGTGTGAGTAATGGAAGCTGGATAGCCAGTAGCTGGAACTGATAACAAGAGGCACTTCTAAGCATTCCAGAGGGAATTAGTGCTGCAACAATGTAGTAACCACCTTCCTCAGGCTGTGAGCCTCCATTTCTGAAAGAAAAAAAATAAAATAAAGGAGCCTCCAGTGCTACTGCTTTTCCCAGGAACAGAGAACTTGGTAGAAAGGTTCTAGTTCTTCCTGGGCAAGGGGAGCCGGGCACTGCTGTTTGATTTTATATCAAAAGGTACACATAAGTAACCATTCTCTACAAAGATTTATTTAGATATTTCCAACCACTGCTATGGGGTGGGGGGCAATTAAACAACAAATCAACATTTCCTCATTAATCATAACCCCTGCTTGTTGTGACTAGCCCCTTTTCAGCCTTTGGGGACTCCTCACTTCACCACCATTCCACCCAGCTTCCTCAGCCAAAATCTAATGGATTCAAACTGCCTTAGAATCCTCTATTACTCTTTCTTCTCCAACATTTTGTGAGGCGGAGAGCCTTTTTTCTTTCTAGGAATGCATTCCCTACAGGAGTAACTTTATTCTTGTGGGATGTCTGTGGAATAACCTGTACATCCAGCTTAAGCAAACATCAGAGGAACCACAACAAAGAGGGCAACTTCAGGGCTAAAAGTGCTTCTAAGGAGTTTTTGACTCTGGCCATATATGAGAGCATTCCATTGAGTCAAGGCTTTGTCTCCATAATGAGGATTGTGTGAATTATGGAAGCACCATAAGGTATAAAAGTATATTCTAAGTAACTGGCTCCATCAGTGCTGAAAGGTAGATTCTGAGATAACACACAGGAGAGCTTTTGAGGCAATATAAAGTTAAGAAAACACTTGACAACAGAGTGGGTGGGTACAGAGATGCCTTGTATGGTGGGGGGGGGGACACATGTGGACTTTCATATGATTGGTCTACAGTATACGACAGTATATGATTGGTCCATGATCCATCAAAACTGACTACATTAGCTAGGGCTGATGGGAGTTGTAAGCCAAAACATCTGAAGCATTATGAGCTGCCCTCCCAAACAAATCATTAGGCCAGCAACCGAGTTCCTTCTGCGTATAAACCACATGCTTGTACCACTAAGGCACGGCAGCTTTGCCTTGTAGTTTCTGATCCCACAAGCAAACTAACTAGGCTTTTTTGCACTGTGGTCAAGTGTATCGATCTGTTCTAACAAGATAGTCTCTGAGGTTTTTCTTAGATACCAGTGAGGGTTTTCTACCTTTTCCTTGAGCATTAAACTAATCGTTATGTTAGTTTTTATATGGGCAAATACTGATGCTTTTTCTCATACCCCCAAATGACAGAGGTGACGGTGGGGCAGAGGCTGAGAGAGAGTAGTATGCTCTGGACCATCACTGAATGGTCCAGCGCTGTAATAAGGCTTGGCCTGCCTTTGCCCATGCTAGATGATGAGCCCATCAACTCACAGCTCCGCTTTGTAGCTGCACCGCACAGAACCTCCAGCCTTGCAGGAGCAAATCCTCTCCCCTTGACGTTCAAATCCCCCATTTATATATTTATTTAGGCTTAAACCCTGGAGCGGAGCTGGGGCGCAGGAGAACGGAAGGGCCAGAGCAATGGCAATTCCTCCCTCCTGGACCTCCTCCCCCCTCTCTCCTTAACCCTTAGAGTCGCTCAGCTCGGGCGGCCACGCTTCTCCCGCAGGCTCGGCGCCTTCCAAACGGGTGGGAAGGGGAGGCGCTGCTAAGCCTTATGCTCTCTGGCGGCGGCGCAATGCTAGCACACCGCCTTCCCGCAACCCAGAAGCTTTGCGCTTCAGCGCCCATAAGCAGCAGCCGACAAGGCGAAAACACAGGCATGCCGGGAGTTGTAGTTCAAGGGGTCTAGCGTGCGGGAGCGGCTGTTTTGCAGAGCTGCAGGTCAGCTTGCAATTCACGGGGCGGTGGGGCAAGAAGCCTGGCTGTTGCAAGTGGGTGTCCTGCTCTCCCGTATCACCTGAAGGTGCCTAATACGTGGTCAGGGCTCCCCAGTATCTTTCTAGCATTGTACCTGGGCACGTATCATACCATTACCCTGATTCATTCAGGGAATTTTACAAGATTGGGTCCCGACTGTGTGTGTGTGTTTATTTATAGACTGCTATTCCCTGAAGGAGCGCTTACACTTACGTCCATATATGCCCGCCCGCCCCCTGAGATCTGCGGGAGAGGCCCTTCTCCCGGAACCCTCCGTGAAGGAAATTAGGAGGATAGATACTCGGAGGAGGGCTTTCTCCGCAGTGGCGCCCAATCTATGGAATGCGCTCCCCAGAGAGATCCGCCTGGTGCCGTCCTTATTTGTTTTTCGGCGCCAGCCAAAGACCTTTTTATTCAAACGTCATTTTAACTACTAATACTATTTATTTTTTATTCTTCGGCCAGGGCGGCTTATTTTATATTGTTAACTTGTTTTATATTTTTATTGTATAATATTTTAATTGATATATTTGTGAGCCGCCCCGAGGCTTCGGCGAATGGGGCGGCATAGAAATATTCTAAATAAATAAATATTCCGTCCTACCTGGCTGTCTGCCTGGTTTACAATCATATAAAACAACGTATAAAACAGTTACTGTACATATAACTGATAACATGCTTTCCCAGTACTTTCTCCATCTTTTCATGAAAAGACATTTTACTTCTGGCAAACATTTCCTGATGGATGAATAAATTCCAGCTGCTGATTTCATCAGTCTTTTTTTTACAATAACTGGACATGCACATGGTAGGTATGTCATGAGCTGAGCTGGCCAGAGCCGAGGATCAGACTAGATGGCTCAGGGTGCCCCTT